ACAGTCGCCAAGTTAATGTCCATTCAAATAATGGACACGACTCCCTCCCCCTCTTCTCACACTACACTGCTGGCTCTTCCCTCTGAGAAATTTTGGGGGGAAAACTAGAGGTTAATACCTTAAACTAAAGTTTTTGAATATAAATGTAATTTGCACAAAAGATAACATATTTACCAGAAACATTTTTCTAAAATTTGTCTAATGCAAAATATATGATGTTTATATTCAATGATCATAAATATAAGAATTCCAGCAATGTAAATTATATTCTGGTCGGCACTAGAAACGCAGGCGGTAATACTGTGTATATATATATATATATATATATATACATACACATATACATACACAGTATTACCCGCCTAACGCGGTTTCACTTAACGAGTTTTTTCATATAGCGGTGCCTCGCCAGAGCTGAACTTTCACTTAACACGGATTTTTTCCACATATACGTGGTGAGTGTCCGGCTCGAGACGCTATTTTTAGATTTGCCCCACCCGCCACCCTGCCTGACTGCCTGTTTTAGCTCATAAAATTCATACAAATTACCCGGCCAGAATATAATTTACATTGCTGGAATTCTTATAATTTGGTGATCATTTTGAATATAAACATCATATATTTTGCATTAAACATACAATTTTTAGATAAAAAATTTTCTCTAGGTAACTATGTTATCTTTTGTGCAAAATATATGACATTTATATTCAAAATATTCCTGGTCTTACAAGGAATCCAGCAATGTCAATTATATTATCCTAACTTTAGTTTGAGGTATTATTTATTAAAATTTAGTGGTTATCCCACACATCTCCTTGGGACGGTGGTGGGGGGTGGGGGGGGAGGGAGGGACCGACCGACCATCTGTTACCCCGTGAAGAATTATTTTTTTTTTTATTAACTGAAGATATTTGTTTTAGCTCATAAAATTCATACAAATTACCCGGTCAGAATATAATTTACATTGCTGGAATTCTTATAATTTGGTGATCATTTTGAATATAAACATCATATATTTTGCATTAAACATACAATTTTTAGATAAAAAATTTTCTCTAGGTAACTATGTTATCTTTTGTGCAAAATATATGACATTTATATTCAAAATATTCCTGGTCTTACAAGGAATCCAGCAATGTCAATTATATTATCCTAACTTTAATCTGAGGTATTATTTAATACTAAATGTTAAAAACTCTGGAAGGGAGGATTGGTGGGGGGTGGGGGGGAGGGTTGGGACTGACCGCGCGGTTGGAAGAGGGGGGAGGCAAGGTGGGGTACTTTGATTGACAGATAGTGTCGTGAAGATTATTTTTTTTTTTATTAACTGAAGATATTTGTTTTAGCTCATAAAATTCATACAAATTACCCGGTCAGAATATAATTTACATTGCTGGAATTCTTATAATTTGGTGATCATTTTGAATATAAACATCATATATTTTGCATTAAACATACAAATTTTAGATAAAATTTTTCTCTAGGTAACTATGTTATCTTTTGTGCAAAATATATGACATTTATATTCAAAATATTCCTGGTCTTACAAGGAATCCAGCAATGTCAATTGTATTATCCTAACTTTAGTTTGAGGTATTATTTATTAAAATTTAGTGGTTTTTCCCCAAAAATTTCTCTGAGAGGGAAGAGCCAGTGAGTGTAGTGTGAGAGGGGGAGGGAGTTGAGTCCATTATTTGAATGGACATTAACTTGGCGACTGTATTTCTCTATTTCTCTTAAGTATTAATTGTGTGCATGTACCATCATAAAATTAAGATGTTATTTTTACTACAACATAGGTATGTGCCTTCAAAAAGTGGAGTTTGGGGGTCGGGCCGGTTTCTATTGGAATTAATCCCATATGTTCTGTTGTTCACTTAACGCGGATTTCACTTAACGCGGGACCCTCTGGGTTCAATTGACCGCGTTAAGTGGGGTACAACTGTATATATATATATAGTGTGACCAACACAAATTATCTCCCTCATCTACGGTAGGTGTAACAAGGAGACAAATATAATATCACATTTAAACTTAAAGTAGTGCGATATGCCACAGAACATGGAAACAGGGTAACAGAGAGAAACTGAGATGATTCGCCAGTGGAGGAAGCAGGAGGAAGAATTAAAAAAAGCGAATAAATAGAAGCATAATCTTCGTATAATACCAGCAAAATGGCCAGACTTAGAAGAAAACTTGAAAACATGGATATTAGACCAAAGAAACTTGGGTTTGGCAGTGACGACAAAGATGATCATTTTGGAAGCAAGAAGGTTTGCAGCAATCACAGGGGTGGATTACTTCAAAGGAACTGCTTGTTGGTGTTTTTGCTTCATGAAACAAAATGGCTTAAGTTTGTGAACAAGAACAAAAGCTCAAAAAATGCCTGCAGAATACGAAGAGAAAATATTAGATTTCCATAAATTTATTATTAATGTTAGAAAACAGAGTTGTCCTGAACTCAGTCAAATTGGGAATAAGGATGAAGTACCTTTGACTTTTGATGTGCCATCTAATAAAAGTGTAAATGTAAAAGAGATATATCAGTGATTGTTAAAACCACTGGACACGAAAGGACTCACTACATGGTAGGTTCAGCTTGCCGTGCCGACGGGACCAAACTACCGCCTCTGTTAATTTTCAAGAGAAAAACATTACCGAAGGAAAAACTGCCAAATGGAATTCATGTCATTGTACAACCCAAGGGATGGATGGATGGAGGTGTCAAGGTATGGTTGGATAAAGTGTGGTTCAAGCGTCCTGGTGGTCTGCTACGAAAGAATTCACTGCTAGTATGGGATCAGTTTAGTGCTCACAGGACTGAAAACACCAAAAGGCTAGCAAAGGAGCTCAACACACAGCAGGCAGTAATTCCTGGTGGCCTGACTTCCCAGTTACAGCTGCTAGATGTCAGCATTAATAAGCCCTTTAAGAATAACACGAGAGAGCACTGGAATAAATGGATGACAGAGGGGAAATATGACGCCGACTGGAAGGATGAAACGCCCATCAATATCTGAAGTGTGTGTGAATGGGTGCTGAAGTCATGGTGTGATATTAAAACTAAAGTTATTGTTAAGTCTTTCAAAGAATGTGGTATCAGAAATGCTATGGATGGCACTGAAGACAACTTGTTGTACGAGACTGACAGTAGTGATTATGATATTTCCTCCCGTGATGATTCAGAGCTTGGTGATGAATCCAACTGTGACGACTTCTCAGGATTTGAAGATGAATTAAATGCTTTTGACTGTTTTACTGGACATGATGTTTAGAGATTTACAGTTTTTTGTCATTTTTATTGTTTGCTTACCAAAAATTTTAATTAAACTGATTTTTACCGAGTTTTTTTTTACTTGTAATTTTTTGCTTTTAAATAAAGATTTTTTGTTTTATTTAGACGTTGATATACATGTTTACATTTGCTTACCTTCTACTGTTGGAAAATATTTCCCGTCGTTGTCATACCGACAAAAACAAGAGAAAGAATGTAAACACTACAGCCCGCTAGATGCGGAGGTGACCAGGTGTATAAAATGAGTGCTGTATTAAAGATTTCCACTTCTTATACAGATTTTTTTTTTTAATTTGATGAAAATGATAACTGATAAGCAGTTTTAAGTGATGATATTCAAAGAGGTGTGTGTACTTGTGCCAAAAGGGCTGTATATCAAGCAACGGTTTCACTGGTGTAGGTAGTAGGCAGCTACCAAACAGGGAGGTACTACCGCCTGGGAAGATATTGGAAGCATAATGTATTGTCTAATGGTAGACCCTGCTGCTATATGGCATCACGAGAATTGTGACCAAGTCCCAGGTTGCTGATCTGACTTTCTGCCTCATTCACGCACAATTGCACGGTCTCAATTGTTTCTTTTACTTTGACAACACAACATACATATATTGTTTCTCACTCTTGATACTTTTTTCATTTTTGTATTTCTTTATGGTTCTTTATTATTTTTATTATTATTATTATTATTATTATTATTATTATTATTATATTATTATTATTATTATTACATTTTCGCCCCCCTAGGCCCCGATGTGGGTCAGTGACCTGTGCCAAGGTGGGCTAATCCCCGTAAAAAAAAAAAAATCCTAGAATTTCATTTCCAAAATCATGGTGCGTCTTCCAAGCCGAAAAATACGGTACAAGGATATAGAACTCAAACACTGACACCAAAGTTTTCTTCCTTGACTTCATTGTTACAAAGATATTCACAACATCATTGAAATTTAATGATCGTGTGAGATCAAACTATTGAGAGAATACAAAGATTTCATAACTTATTGTCCAAGAGACAAGAATTCATACAGATCTTAATCCTACCCATTGGTAAGCAAGACCACTTTAACCAGGCCCTGATCGGGGGCAGGGGTCTATGCCATGGTGGAAGCCTTAACCAGGTCCTGCCCAAAGGTTGTTTGGGAGTCTGAATGACCTGTCCCCCCCGCACCCCCTTCACAAGAGTCCCCTTGCCTTGAAGAGGACATGTAATGATGACCAAGCTTATTCTTCAGGATGTGGTGAGTGTTTAATTGTTTTGTACAGAAAATAGTATTGTAGGATTTTTTTTGGTCAGTGATAATTCACCTAGCAATAGGGTTTTCAGGAACCTAACCCCCATCATATCTCGAGGTTTACCTGTAATAATAATAATAATAATAATAATAATAATAATAATAAAGAACCATAAATAAATAAAAAGTGAGAAACAATATAGGTAACGGTATGTTGCGTTGTCAATAGAGTATTATGAGAAACAGTCGAGACCCTGGAATTGTGTGTAAATGAGGCAGAAAGTAAAATCAGCAACCTGGGACTTGGTCACAATTCTTGTGGTGCCATATGGCAGCAGGGTCTACCATTAGACAACACATTAAGCTTCCAATATCTTCCCAGGTGGCAGTAACTTCCTGTTTGATGGCTGTCTACTACCTACTGAACTTACAAGAAAATAACTCAGTCCACTTGTAACTAAAACACACTGGCTTACCTGGTAGATGTACCCTTGCGGACATCACACATGAGGCACTTGAAGGCCTCAGGAGAGTTTCTGTAGGTACATACACTGCAGTCCCACATATTCTCCTCCTTGTTAGCCCGCTTCACCCGCCTGAAAGTAAAAACACTAATTCACAGCACCTGTATGTTTTCTAAAGCAAATAACATCAATTAAATAAACCCCCACCAATCTTTGAGGTTTGGTAAGAAACTACATGAGTTGTAACTTACAAATCTTAATTCTGATAACAACAAAGGGTTTGTTTTGTGTAACTCAAGACTGTTTAACTACAACTCCACCAAAACACATGATGTTTGCATAAATTAATAAACTGTTTTCATCTAGAATGAAACAACCTAATCTACATTACATCATGCACTTTATTGTACTGTACACTGAAAGTTCCACTCTTCCTCACATATCTTACACAAGCCTTAGTATTGTAGTAGAATCAGAGCTTGATGTACTGTACTGTACAGTTCTCTCATGGTGTACAAGACTAAGTGAATGGGTTTCTGTTTGGGTTTCTGTATTGAAAATCTAGAGTGTCACCAGAATTTGAAAATTCAGGTACAAGTTCAAGATTCTTCAAACACTGCTGGAGACAGCTGGCAACTCAAGGCCTTTTTTTACTATAATACCAGTACAGTACATAGTAAAATTTATGAATGAATGTAAATCGATCGGTTATGGTTACTTAGTTCCCTGTTGCTTAATTAAAGGTTGGGCTTTGTTGTTTCGTATTATATTATACTATGTACCATCATAAACAAACAGCCTTGAGTTGCCAACTGTCTCCAGTAGATTTCGAAGAATCTTGAACGAGACTGTACATAGTGTAATAGCTATACATATGGGTAATACGATTCATAATTGCAATGGAGTGGTAACATCTATACATTCATTATCATAAATATTTATATCTAACTGGTCTTCATGTATCCCTGTGATGTTTGGGGTGAATATTTAAATTTATTTTACACAAATACCATTTAAAAGCTATTTCTTAATGAAAATTACTGCTCAAAAGTATTGGTACATGTAATACAGTGGTCCCTCAATTAACGAACACAATTGGTTCCACAGAGTCGTTCGTTAACCGAAAATTTCGTTAACCAAATCTATTATTTCTATAGGATATTGGGTAATTGGTTCTAAATCACAGAAAAAGTATACAAACAAAGTACAGCTACTCCTCAACTTGCGACATACTCGACCTACGACCACCAGCACATACAACCGCCGCAGTCGGTACCAAATTTTTTTAAAATGACGCGAGTATTTTCTAAACCGAAACGTTTCCGTCCCGTACGAGAGCATCGCATGGGCTGGGTCGCCTCGGGGCTACAGCACCCACGCCGTAGAGCGCTTAGTTGGTGCTTGGTTGTCGTTTTTGTCAAAGGTGATCGCGCTGTGTACTGACATTATTTTCGTTTCTAATTCACTTTAGAATGACTGGCAAGCATAGAAGTGAGAGTGTTAGGGCTGCTCAGAAGAAAAGGAGACAGTCAATTACTTTTGAGACGAAAATGAAGATGATAATGCAGTATGAAAATGGAAAAACGGTAGCAACCATTTCACGCGACCTAGGCTTCTCATATTCTACCATATCTACTATTTCGAAGGTCAAGGAACGTATTTGTGAGGTAGTGAAAGGATCCAAACCTATAAAGGGAACAATAATAACAAAAAAAAAAGACAAGTTCCTATTCATGAGATGGAAAAATTACTTGTGATATGGATGGAAGATCAGATACAAAAGAGTGTACCCTTAAGCGTTCTAACCCTACTGGCTAAGGCAAGAAGCCTTTTCGAAAGCCTGAAGGAGCAGGCAGGTGATGAGAGCGACCAAACCTTCACAGCAAGTCATGGGTGGTTCCAAAGGTTTAAGAACCGCTACAGTTTGCATAGTGTAAAGGTGAGTGAAGAGGCAGCAAGTGCTGATGTTGGTGCTGCCGAAGCTTTTAAGGAGGAGCTAGATCATGTCATCGTGGAGGGAAATTATTTGGCAGAGCAAATATTTAATGTGGATGAAACTGGATTATTATGGAAGCGCATGCCAGAACGGACATACATCCACAAAGAGGCGAAAACAATGCCGGGATTCAAGGCATTCAAGGACAGAATCACACTTCTGTTGGGTGGGGGGGGGGAACGTAGCTGGTTTCAAGATAAAGCCCTTCATGATATATCATTCAGAGAACCCAAGGGCTTTTAAACATGTCAGCAAGCACACACTGCCAGTGTTTTATCAAAGTAACAAGAAAGCATGAATGACCCTAGTACTGTTTGAGGATTGGTTCCTGACTTGTTTCATTCCACAAGCCAAGGGATTGCATTCAAAATTTTGTTAATTTTGGATAATGCTCCGGGACACCCACCACACCTGGACAACCTGCACCCTAATGTTAAGGTAGTCTACATTCCACCTAACACTACCTCTATCATCCAACCCATGGATCAAGGTGCTATTGCCGCTTTTAAAGCGAATTATTTACGTGCGACCTTTGCTCAGGTTGTTGCTGCTACTGAAGGTGAGAAAACGCTCAGAGAGTTTTGGAAGGACTACAACATTTTGAAATGTATAAAGCACATTAGTGCAGCATGGGAAGAGGTTACAGGTCAGTGCATGAATGGAATATGGAAGAAAGTCCTGAAAAGATATGTGAACAGTTTCAGAGGATTTAATGAAGATGAAGTAATTTCTGAGATTAGTAACAAGATAGTGGAGTTGGGTTAACAGCTTGAGTTAGAAATTGATAATGAAGATGTTGAGCAGTTGGTTGAAAATGTAGCAGAAGAGCTAAGTAACGAAGATCTTATTGAACTGGATGCACAGAAAATTGCAGAGGAAGAAGAATCAAAATGTAGAAGAAGAACATGCACCCCCCAAAAAATGTTCCAATAAAACAAATGGCAGAAGCATTTGCTACAATTAATAAGGGGATGCAAATGTTTGACGGAATGGATCAAAATGTTGAGCGTTTTATAAAAGTTGACAGAATGATCCAAGATGCACTTGCTTGCTACAGGAAGATTTACAATGGAAAGAAAAGGCAAGTTGCAGTCTAAATTGGACATATATTTTAAGAAGTCCCCCATTACTGTCTCCTCACACCCCATCAGTGCTTCCTCTTCACTCCCTAAAGATGATCCAATACCTTCAACAAGCAAGTTTCCCCTGTATATTAATAAGTCTGAAGAAAGCAACATTGATGACCCACCCAGCCCTGTCTCCTCTGCTTCATCCAGTTATTGTAGTCTCCATGTATAATTAGAAAATTATGGGGGACCCGTGTGTATTCAGCTGACTACATTAAAGGTAAGTGCACAGTCACACTGTATTCATTCTTCATTATTGATTACTTTTACTGTACTGTATTTCATTTTAGATTTTATATGTATTATTTGTTTTGCATTTTCAACTTACAACCTGGATTTGGGTCCCTAACCCCGTCGTAAGTCGGGGAGCAGATGTACTGTATACCGGTAATAGAATTAACAAAACATTAAACATAAACTAAATACAGTAAGTACTGTATTGTACAGTGCACTGTACAATAATTAATAAAAAAACAATAGAATACTGTATTTTAACTTACTTTGAGGAGTGTATGTTGTATTACCGGCAGCTTTCTTTACATATCAAACAGCTGATTGTATGGGCAATCGATGATAACATGCCATATTCTTTACAGATGCATTGGTTCTAATGCCTTCTTTGTGTTTCATAATAATGTCTGCACTGTTTATTATCAATATATTAACTAAATTTCAGAATGACCAATAATTTTAATGTAAAAATGCTAAAATATTCAAGAGACCAAAGCGTTGTTGGGTGATTCGATCAACTGATGGGCACACAAAAACTGTTCCCTGTACTGTCTATATTATCAATATGTTACCTAAATTTCAGAATGACCAATAATTTTAATATAAAAAATTCAGAAATATTCAAGAGCACAACTTTCTTGATATTTACTCCACTGGAAACGAATGTAAACATAGAACTGATTACTGTATTGGCGGACTGGCCGATCAACTGATGCGCACAACAAAACGTGTTTGTCGTAATACTTTCGTTAATCAAACTGAAAATCCTTATGGGAGCTAATTTGTTAACTGAAATTTCGTTAATTGGACAGTTCGTTAATCGAGGGACCACTATATATGCCAATTTCAGAAATCTGCACATTATTTACCAGTACAGCCCCTCCCCAACTTACGACCCACTCGACTTGCAACCACCCGCACTTGCGACCTGCCTCAGTCGTACGAAAATTTTGTCAAATTACATATTTTCGAGTCCCAACGTCAGTACAGACAAAATTTTTGTTTGTAATTCACTTTAAAATGGCTGGCAAGCTTAAAAGTGAGTGTTCTGTGGTTTCTGAGAAGAAAGAGACACCCATTTTAGGTTTTCTATGTATTACAGTGATCCCTCGGTTAACGAGCGCCTTGGATAACGAAATTTCGGTTAACGAATTACCTTCCATAAGATTCTTCACTTTGGTTAACGAGCAAACCCTCGGTTAACGAATTCCTTACGAATTTTTCCCAACATGTTTTCGCCTGCATTTGGCTGCCCACCAGCTGTAGTATTAGTCCGCCAATACAGTAATCGATTTTAGGGCTTAAATTCCTTACCATTTTAGTAAATATCAAGAAGGTTGTACTATTCAATAATTTTAAGTTTTATATTAATTTTTTTAGTAACTTTAACAATTATTGAACATAAATGAAGTACAGGAAGCTAGTTTTTTGCACGCCAAACAGCCATTCAACATACCAAGCTTGGCGTCAGTTTGTTTACCAGTTCTGAGGAGGGAACATCTTCTTTGAGACTCTTGAACATAAATGCTTTCTTTCTGTTTCCAGTCAAATTATTGGCCATTTTGAAATATATTTTACATATTGACAATATATAATGCAACGCAGTGTTGATTTAAAGAAAATAATCTTGAATTACACCAACTAAAATTTTATGGGTGAAATGGCAGCATGGGGTGCCTTCCCTTCTCCTCCACCCCCATTCTAATTACCATCATCATCAACCAGGAGCCTTCTACATGCACACCTCAAAGTAAGTGTACTTTACTGCACTTATTTTTAGTTTGTATGTAATTTTCGGTGA